AGTCACCCATTGTGAATGGCTTTTAAAGAGTCAACATCATGCATCAGAGAACATCAGGGTTATTTACGAGAATATGCAACTGATTCTTTTTTAAGTTGTATGTGCATTAAGAATATCTTCGTAATGCTTTATATAAAGGCTTCAAAGACGAAATTACAGAAACAACTGACCAAATAGAAAGAAAAAGCATCACATTCACGTTCCAGAGTGTTTGTTTATATAACTGCACAAATGCACATGTCGTCTGACTTGCAAAAGCAGCACCAGCGCTGGTAGTTTCTGACAGGTTGACAGTCTCCTGCTTTTAGAGGTCTGATTCCTGATGACCTATTCTCTCACGTCAGAAACTTATAACTGCATTAAGCACTGGGAATAAGACAACTCGACAAGGTACGTTCCACTTGAGCCTGAGGTTTCTTAAAGGAGTCATATGATGTTGCTAAAAAGAACATTATTTGGTGTATTTGGTGTAATGAAATGTGTTTATGCACTTTAAGGTTCAAAAAACACATTATTTTCCACATACTGTACATTATTGTTTCTCCTCTATGCCCGCCTTTCTGAAACGCATCTATTTTTACAAAGCTCATCGGTCTGAAAAGCGAGGTGTACGCTGATTGGCCAGCTATCCAGTGCGTTGTGATTGGCCGACTACCTCAAGCGTGTGGCGGAAATGTTACGCCCCTTACCATACTGTGATGCCTTGTCCCGGCCGGAGCAACGAGACATAAACATTAAAACCCATTATAAACTAGGCATTTGTTGCATCCAGTGGGGACATAATTACTGATTATAATGACTTATACTGTCTTTTTACGCGTTGCGTTGCATCGCGCCGCGTAAACATAAAACCCTGTCTGCATTTGTGATCGGAGAAATGACAAACAAGCGCTACTCAACATTGCTCAAAACTTGCGTTTGAATCGTCAGTGGCAAATTCTTTAAATATAAAAGACGTACTTACAGTCTGTGAGTCAGAACAGCCGGCATTGTAGTCTACTCTCCCAGGATCAGGAAACAGTCCTCCATAAAATGCGCTGCACACATCTGAATATTTGGGTTGAAGTGTTCTGGAACAGTGTTGTAAATACAACTTAACCACTGATTTCTAGCCGTGTCCTCTTTTGGAAGACCAAGCAAAGTAGTTTCGCTTTCACAACAAAAATTACGACTAGAGTGAGCGGAGGCCGGTGGGCTTGAGAACGGCGTGTCCGGTGGGCTTGCGGCAACCCCATGTGATGACCCCGGGCTTGACTCCACTTCGTCCACGGTGAAAGCCGATCCGGCGATCTACAGCGTGAAGTTGTAGTATTTCCTTAGCGACCAGCACGGATCAGCTCTAGGCATGACGAAGCGGATATCGTCCTCTTTTGAAAGACCAAACAAAGTAGTTTTGCTTTCACAACGAAACACACAGCGCCTTCACGACATGGCGGCAGCAACAATACTACAGCGAGAATAAAAGTTACACCTTCTTTCTTTGCGTGAACATTTGGGCGGCGCTATGCAAATCTTCCCACATTGTGACGTAGACATGTGGGGGCGTGTTAGAACGAGCTGTTTTAGGTAGGTGTGGCTGACTCTTAACTTTTATAAAGAATATCTCTTTGGATTTGAGACTTTAGTCTTTGCAACTTTACAGATCTTCTTTATGCACCAAGAGCTTGTAACACTCCAAAGAGAAAGGAAAAATTGAAATTGTATCATATGACCCATTTAAAACAATGAATCAGCACTTCTGATTCACAATGAAATGAAATTCTCCGTCTCTCCTCGCACTTGGAGCGACAGGCTCTGTAAAGCTCTGAAAGAACTAAGGAGTGTAGAAATCCTTCAGAAAAGCACGATTTCTAATGACTTCTGACTAATGAGCATTCACATGAGAGAGCATAACTAATTACACCAGCAGATATGGGCAGCTTTGACCATGTTGGTTTTAGAAATGTTTTTTGAAGCTAACAAAAATGTTCTAAAAACGCTTTCCTAACATTCCCATTAAGTTATGAAAATGTTATTTCTGAATGTTCTTCAGTACATTCAAAATGTTCTTTTTTTGTGTGTTTTAAAAATGTTTTTCTTGGTTATGTGAAGAGAAACCATTAAGAGAATATTCCGTTTTATCATTTTGCAAAAACGATGGCTACTTTTGTTACTTTTATATTAATATTAATGTTACATTTGAATGTTCTCTGCACAATCCGAAACAATTAGTAATAGTAACCTTAGATTAAAATGTCCAACTACAATATTGAAAAAAAACGTTCCATGAACAATGTATAAATAAATTTTTTTTTTGCTAATGTTTTGATAACATTAAGACCAAATAACATTCTATTACCGTTACTGGAAGAACATCTGTTCATAACTTTGCCTGTTAGCTGTGAATAGTTCATTTAAAAATTTAAATCAAGCCATAAAAATGATCCATATTACACTAAATATAGTATAAAAGTCTGTTTTATAGTTCAAAAATATAATCATTTTTGGATGAACTATTCCTTCGCTGGGATCTAATAAGACATCTTTAACAAATCTTTCTTTTTTATTAAATGTACATTTTTAAAAAATCTTCATAATCATCAGTATTTTTTTTCTTTTCTTTCTTTTTCTTTTTTAGCTCGTTTTATTACAGAATGACTGGCATTTCCAATAATGATCATCTGGTGGAGATATGCCATCCCATTTCCCCCGCTTTTTAATATTCAACAGATGAACGCAGATTATCTCCATCTGAAACTTTTCCAGACTTGCGTTCATCTCCTTGTCCAGATATTGAAATAATGACTTCAGCTATAGTGTTGCCCAGATATCAAATACTTTTTGGTAAAATAACCCAGAATATGAATGAACAGAACCAACAGCATTGCCTGCTGTGAGTAATATCAAAGTTCCAAAATACCTCCAGAAACAATTCCTAATTTAGATAACTGAATAATTCACATATAAAAACCCAGATGCTTCCGTCTTATGTCCGATTCGAAAAGCTTTTCTACTCAGATTAAACAAAGCACTGTCACAGAAGAGTGGTTATTCTCAGAAAACGCTTTCTTTCAGAAGATTGTTCGTCCTTTTGCTTCCCGGTGAGAATCTGTGCTTTATAACACAGTGTCATTACATAAACCACAGGGAGAAACAAAGCCAGACAGTGGAGCTCTTATGAATGAGAGGAATTATTCATAAACCTGAATTATCTGACACGTGATTAACCCTCTAATTATAGCCACTCACGCTTTCCTTCAAGGCTGCTCCCTGAAGAAGTGAGGTCAACGCCAAGTTAAAAAAAACTGCTTCAAATTGAATAAAAATGAGAGTGTATTTGAACAAATTTAGTCATTATGTGGTCAACTTTAAGCTCATTGCTGACAAAAATCTCATTGCAGTCATCATCTGATCAATTCTCGCCTGAAAGTAAATCACATTATATCAGCAAATTCCCACAATCAACTAAAACACATTTTAAATGCCATCACAATCAAACAAAAAGAAAGAAAAAAAATCGAATCATCTTCTCTCAATCTCCTTGTGACTGAGCAACTTTTCATAACACCTCGGCCAATCACAACGATCATAATCACATGCACAATTATTTTCACAATTGGCTGCTCCCTGAAGAAGTGAGGTCAACGCCAAGTTAAAAAAAACTGCTTCAAACTGAATAAAAATGAGAGTGTATTTGAACAAATTTAGTCATTATGTGGTCAACTTTAAGCTCATTGCTGACAAAAATCTCATTGCAGTCATCATCTGATCAATTCTCGCCTGAAAGTAAATCACATTATATCAGCAAATTCCCACAATCAACTAAAACACATTTTAAATGCCATCACAATCAAACAAAAAGAAAGAAAAAAAATCGAATCATCTTCTCTCAATCTCCTTGTGACTGAGCAACTTTTCATAACACCTCGGCCAATCACAACGATCATAATCACATGCACAATTATTTTCACAATCTTCCCTCCTTGTTCCTGCCACTATTCTGACATCATAACCATTATGCAATATTTGAGTCTTGAGGTTTTAATGAGAGGAATCACCTCTGGCTGAGCACATTTTAGATTTATAACAACTCTCACACTTAACATTCCACTATTAAGACATCATATCGTCCAGTTGGGATGTTTTAGTGTTAGAATGATGTTTCAGTGTCCATTCATACCAGCCTAGCCAATCATAATCACTAGGTGATAATTAAAATTAGACATTTCATTTTCAACCATTACTGTCTGGACTGCTGGTCCAGTTATAACAGCTCCGCCAGATATCACAATCATTTTCACTATTGTGATGTCATAATCACTATGCCATATTTTGAAATGGGACATCTTATTAAGGAAATCACTTCCATGTCTGAGCTGAAAGTGCATTCATAAGATTCTAGCAATCACCAAAATCAGAATCACACTCATTTACATAACTATCCTGACATCATAGTCACTATACACCCAATTAAATTGAGACAAGTTTGTAGGAGAATCTATCTGAATTTCTGGTCCATTAAGATGACCCTGACTGTTATCTATTTGTGACATTATAGTTGAGGAAATCACTTCTGTCCCTCATGACTGTCTGAGCTGCTTGTCCATTCACATCAGCTCATCCAGTGACTGCTGGCATAGACTATCCTCCAATCTCATTAGAGAAGTGCTGCGATAAACTGGGTTATGATGAGCACTGCTTGCTTGTACACTCTGTTCCAAGCGTCCACTGCACAAACCAAGCTGCACCTGTCCTGATATCCGCTGAAACCGACAGTAGCGAATCTGCTAAACGATCGTAGATCCCAAGCAGCTGTCACCCAAGCAAACACTGTTAATGCAAGAGCATGCAAAAGAATGAAGAACGCACGCATTACTGTTTGCAGACGTCATTTGACGCATCCAAACCGACGCAACTCTTAAGAAGTCCGGCTGTTGACATATTAAACGTCAAACAGCCTCCGCAAAATATTTTGTTGTTTCCACGCAGATATCAAATTTTTTTTTTTTTTTTTTACATACCTTCATTGCAACTCCCGTCCGCGAATACTGTCGAATACTAAAGTGATTTTCATCGCAAGGACGCTCAGGAACACTCCATTACGTCTTCCCTTTCTATCATCCTTGTGTGTGTGTGTGTGTGTGTAGGAAAGAGCATAACGTAATGGCAAAGCGCGGATCAGCCAATCCTGAAATAGCAAGACCCGCTGGTATGTATAGCAGCCAATCGGCGTCGCTCTCGCCGGCGAGTGGGCGTGTCTTAGCGACACGCGCGTGAGCAGGCTTTGGTTTGATGCAGCGACACTGTAGCGTGACCCTTAACTGTTTCCCAAACAGATTATGTGTAAAACGCTGATAATTATGTCCAGCTCTAATTTGCATTTCCCTACGCGCGATAATTAAATCTCCACTCTCGGTTTCATTAATAAGGAAATTATCCTAATCTTAAATTATCTAAAGTCTGACGCCATCTAAATTGACTTTTTAAACACACTTTTTATGACATACTTGCGATGCGCTTAAATGTATAAATATAATATACAATACTATATGAATATTTAAAAAAAAAGTGATAAATGATAACGTTATGTTTTTATCTGCTTGACGTCCGTCGACGGCGGCCTGTTGCTATGGTTACCTATTTAAGCGAACGTTTATTTAGTGATCTCTGATTGACTTTTAAATGTAAATGTTGTGGCAGTTTGTTCGGCCTACAGTCCACACTGGAACGTGCTGGAATGTTCTAGCAGAGACGAGGTATTTCACAATTATTAATCCTCACAAACAGCTGCTCTTAATACTTTAATACTCAAACACCATATGTTTCAAAACACATATTAGCTGTCCGCTAATATTTGAACATGTCAAGAAGACAAACCATCTGAACTCAGAATGTATTTAGAAATACTACATATTTAATAACATGCTTTGAATAAATTAATACAGTTAATACAGCACGCGCAGCAACTTTCATAATTAAAATGAATTTAATATTTCAGTTCCGTCAGGGTTGAACAGCTCTTTTTTTTATTGCATATGAACATATATAACAGCAAGAGAAATACAACTTTGTATATAAATGCCATCAGTACACAAGATTACAAGTAAAATACTAAATTAGCCAGCGGAAGAAAGAAAACATAAAATAAATAAATAAAACAACTAAATTAATGAAGACGGTACAGTTTACTTGTCTATTTCAAAGTCCTGAGAGCTTTTTTTGTTTTACATTTATATACCATATTACAGTATTGTTTAAATTCGTTGATAAAATTTAAAAAATTTGGTTTACCACCTGACCACTTTATTTTATGTATATGAAACTTCCCCATTACAACCAGTAATTTAATAATATACGCTTTATCCTTTTCTATCCCATAATCATCAACATACAGTATATCATTATATCAGACCCACCCAGTTTAACAGCTGTATTAAGTTTTCTTGTAATGAAATTCTCAACATCAACCCAAAATATCTTTGTATAGATGCAATGAAAAAATAAATGAAAAATTGTTTCTTTTTCATTACTACAAAATTCACAGGAGTAGTCAATATTCAAACGTTCCAACATATGTTTCACTGGATAAATTCTATGCAATATTTTATACGAAGCTTCCTTTACTTTGTTATTAACAAAGAATTGATCAACCATTCTCCAAGCCTTACGCCAGTTTAAGTCTCCAAATATTGATGACCAGAAAAATCTAGCTGGAGGATATGTAACATAATTTACTAAATTTCTAATGTATTTATTTGGTATGTTGTTTTTTTTTAATATTAATATTTCGAATAAAAATTGAATTAGTTATATAATCCAGATTAGGGTTTTCATTACATTCATTTTTAAGAAGACATAATACCTTACTGGGTATAGCGTCCATTACAATGACATATTCTCTGGGTCTAATTGGGATTTTTAAATTTGTCAAGAAACTCTGTGTATGATAATAAAACTCCATCACTATTCATCGGGTTGAGCAGCTCTACGTTTCAACGTTGCGCATCGCAAAACCTCACTGTTTTACAATAAAGTGTGAAAGCAGGTCATCTAGTGGCCAGATAGGCTAAGTGAACGACAACCCATACAGATACAGCATATTGTTGAAGTCAAAATTAAGGAACCAGATTTCTTCTAGAAGCATCTCGGTCTCTGATTTATTTAAAATTATTTTTATATATTTAATATGATATCTAAAGCATTCATATAAAATATGTACGCACACGTTTAAATACACAGTACAGTTTTAATGAGAAAATAGCTGGGGGTCATGTGTGATCTTATATGCAAACGAGTCACAGAATTACATGGGACAGTAACCACAGCCTACAGGGAGAGAAAATGCAGTGGTTTACATCCACATTCTGTCTGTCTGTCAGTCTGAAAGAGAGAGAGAGAAAAACAAAGTTCATACCATTCAAATGTAGTGTCAGATTACAAGCAAGATTGTTTCTGATACAAGTGAAAGAAGGCAGAACATTTGCCGTCTGTCAGAGTGAAGTTATGCATGATGTACTTGTCAAAGTACATCATGCATAACTTCACTCTGACAAGTACATCATGCATGATGTACTTTGACAAGTAAACAAACCTGAGAAACAAGTGGGCAAGTTAATAACATTTGATCTGAAGACTTATGACACAAATTCCTAACAGTTCGTTATGACGGCCATCGGCACAAGACCACGAGAATCAGACAAGTCCTCTGCTCAATTTGACGTTCGCTGCAGCCTGGAATTAAACCACACTGTGTTGGTTTCGTCTGGCCCCCCGACTGAGCCTGGTTTCTCCCAAGGTTTTTTTTCCTCCATTTCTGTCACCGATGGAGTTTTGGTTCCCTGCCACTATCGCCTTTGGCTTGCTTAGTTGGGAACACAATTTCAGGCAAAATATTGACTTGATTGCATTATTGGAAGAGAACTGAACTGAGCTGGATGATGATGTCACTGAATCAACGATGAACTGACTTTAACTGAAAAACTGACTGTTTTCTATCGTTCTTTAGCATTATCAGCACGCGTTTTTCCTGTGTAACACTGCAAAGCTGCTTTGACACAATCTATATTGTATAAAGACTTGAAGGTGCCTTCAGCTTTGAAGCAACCTCAGTGAGAACTAAATGAACTAGTGGAAACTAATTAGAAAAAACTAGACATTTATGTATGGATGGATGGATGTATAGATGTCCCAATACGTAGTGACAGTACTGCTGACTTACTTACTGTACATTAATTCTGGGAAACAAATGAGATAAAAACACATCTGTCAGGTAAAAAACAGGTTATATTCCTGTCCAGCCTGTATCTCTAAAGCATGTTGTCAAATGCTGCCATCTCAAACACAATGATGTCCAGTCTTTTTACAAACAGAGTTTATTTCACAGCAAGAACAATCATTCATTAGTGTTTATTATAAAACAGAAAGGAAAAGAACATCCAGTTGCTCGAAGCTATTAGAGTCACACTGTTTGTGACATTTATACTAGAACTGAACACATTATCTTTGAACTACAATGAAAATTTAGACACTGAGAGTCATAAACATTACAAAAAAAAAACAAAAAAAAACTGGAGATGACCAGCCAACTAGAAAAGCCGTCACGTAAAGTGCAAATCAGACATGCGTCTGTAAAGGAAAAACCACCTGTGGCGCAAAGGGCATCATAAAACAACTCAAAAGGTCACATTTACTGTCAAACACTTGTGCATTTGCGCGCACACAGCATTTATAATTAATAAATTAACTCTGTAACATCATATTTGTTTAAAAAATACAAAATACTGACATGAACCAAACTAAATTTTTCTATAAAAACACTGAAATCAATTTCACTGACACTACAAACATGGTTTTTGTGCTGACGAAACATTGCCAGCTGCTTATGTGTCTTATGTCATCCCTTGTTGCAACCTGGATGCGATTTAATGAAAAATAACCATGTCGGTTGTGTGGCATTGTTATTCTCTCAGCTGCCTCTGTGTCCTGTTTAATGAGCTCTGGCTAAAGCTACATTTGCATCATAAGCTTCCAAAGAAAAACATCACACACACACACACACACACATGCAAACACACAGACATCAGTATCTCTTCTAGCCCGAAGGCACTCTAGCAGCCTTTTTTCTCTCTTCTCTCACCTCTCCTTGCTCTCAGTTCTTGTCTAATTGAGGCGAATCTACCCTGGACAAAAGCTTTCTCAGAGGGGAGCATTTGGCCATATCTGTCACAAGCCAAACGTGAAAGTTTCACATCAGAAGCTTGAAAGTTGCTGATGTGGGTGGTAGTTGTTTTATGTCTTACAAATTTGTCTTGTTCTGTTATTTTATATGTGGTCAGTTAGTATTTGGCCCTAAATTTGAATTTAATGTTGCAAACATCAGATTGACTGGTGCTTTCTGCAGCAACTGGACTAAAGAATAAAGTCTGTGGGAGTGAGGAACAGGTCCTGACCCTTCTTCCTCCCTCCTTGAACCAACTTTACATAACCATTTTTTGTCTCATGGCACTCCATTTAGGTTTTGTGGCAAATGGGTGCTTAACGCTTTTACAATGTTGATACACTGAACCTTTATTTGGAGTGTTAGAATAACAAAAGAACAATACCACAAGGAACAGCAGAGTCCATCACCTTTCACAGTAATGCAATGTATTTTTCTCTTCTACACTCCAGGGCTCCAGCACCAGATGGTCTTCCAGCTCATCCTCTTCGTCCTCCTCTTCCTCCTCAAACACACTGATTTCCTCAATAGAAGTCTCTAGGAAGTAGCTGCTGCCTTGGCCCTCATTGTTTTCGTAGATGGTAGGTAGGCTGCTTCTCATTCCAAAGCGTCTGCGTAGGGCGACCAGCAACGGCTGAGGCACAGTAAAGATGTCCACGTTGTTGCCCAGATCCACCCAAGCCAAACTGGGAAACATTTTGGGGTCCTTAACCACCTCTATCAGGTCTTTAAGGATAGCTAGAGTCAGTCGGTTACCGTTGATTGCAAGTGTGGTGAGTTTGGGTAGCACTCCTAAGAATGGTAAAAGAAGTCGCAAGCTCTCATCTTGGAGCTCTGTGAAGCTGATGTCCACTGCCGTCACAGATGAACCATTGTTCTGAAGGTAGTATGCCACACGATGCAGATCACGGCCAGAAAGGGGGATAGCAGAC